TTATAACTCCTAGATTATTGTAATTATTTTATATGAAGAAGCGAAATAAATTCTACTGAAAAGGATGTGAAAATCTGCATAGCTAAAGCCTGGGCCACCTTGAATAAAATGGACGTAATCTGGAAATCTGATCTACCAGACAGCCTCAAACTGAGATTCTTTCCCGCCATTATAGAGACATTGTTAATGTCTGGTACCATTTCCTGGACATTAACTAAAACATTAGAGTCTAAGCTTGATGGAACCTACACTCGGATCCTGAGACCTTTACTTAACATCTGCTGGCGGCAATTTCCAACTAAATCACAGCTCAATGGATCCATCCCTGATATTTCTACAATGTTACGCGAACGCAGAATGCGCTTTGCAGGACACTGCTGGCGAGCAAAACAAGAACTCGCGTGTGATCTACTGTTCTGGAGGCCCAGCCATGGAGAAAGACGGATTGGTCACCCAGCAGCCATCTACATTGATCAACTATGTTATAGCAGAAAATGCCACCTAATGACATTCCGACCATGATGCAGGAACGTGATGGTTGGCGTGGTAGTCGCGTGAACGTTAGAGCTATAACTCGACTGAATAAACAAAAATATATAAAGTAGCTTGGAATGAATTTATTTTTACTCATTTCACCCCAAAGCAAAGAAAGTAAAGCCACTAAGACAAAAAAAAAAGTTGCTGAATGTGAAAGAATAAGAAAAAGAAAACCTTAAGGAGCGAGAACAATAAAAGAAGAGGAATCAAGACAACTGTACATAACGATTGACATTGCGTATACATTTTTGAAGGCAAAAGTTAAATGGAAAGCAAGAGACCGGAAGAAAGTTCCACAAGCGAGAAGTGCGAGAGAAGAAACTGACAGCATAAAATTTACGGTTTTATCTAGCCAATTCAACTGCAAAATGTTGAGACCTAACAGCCGATTTTGTACTGCGTTTAAATTAAGAAAGTCTAGGTACCATAGAGCAAAGTTTATCAGAATAATTACCATGAAAGTAGAAAATGCACAGGGAAGCTACGTTACGGCGGTGGAAAGAAATGAAGGTGAGATGCCAGGTCACGACCAATAACATTGCAGATTCGGCTTTGGATTTTATCAAGAACTAGCAGCATGGCCCGGCGTTGCCCATGCTTTATTCGAAAATCGTACGACTCATACAGCAATCGCTATCACTTCACTTAAAATATTTTTGCCCTTCCTTGCCTTTAAAGGAGTGCCCTTTGCCGTGCTGATGTTGCTACATGCCTCATTTCTTGCCTATCTCACACTGCGAATTTTTTCTAAGCTCTATACTAAACATTAAATCTGTTACGAAAAAAGAACTAAACAAAATGAACACAAAACGATCAGCTTTAAAAAAGGATTCGTAACAGGAAAAACCGAATGAAAAAAGAATATTGACAACAAATACTTTTAACACCGAACCCAGTTCTGCGGAATCAGAATCAACGTTGAGTTTAAGCAAGCGAATGAGCCAATTGGAGTAAAGTGCCATGCAGATTTAAATTTTTCCCACTTGTGACGAATGCAGCTATCGATTTTTTTTTTTTGCATGCTAGCATGCTAGTTAAGATTCATGTCAGCTGTTGGCTGTCACGCTGGCCAATAGAATCTTCCTGCCTATTCGTGGCAGCCAGCTATTGGCTCTCACTCTGGCCAGTAAAAAATGGCCGCAAACTACATGAAAACTGCCGTAGAAGCATGAAAAAATCGATTATTTCCACTATCGATTGGAGTTGGGAAATGCAAAATCGGTCTTGGCCTTCCCGCTAACTTGGGACATGTGCATGTAAATTTTGGTGCAAATCTGTCGAAAATGGCGGCCGTGAATTCGTTACACACACACACACGCACACACACGTCCTACCTTTTATAGATAGAGATTTCTAATTATATAGCCCGAGCACCGGACCATATGCGGTGGCTATATTCAAAACATGGACGAATAGTTTACTATTATAAAGATATATAACAAGGTGAGTTTTTTTTTCTTTAGCCGTTAAGATTAATGGCAAGTGATTAGAACAATGACCCGCTTAGATGACAGAGTCATGGTATCAAAGAGGAAAGATAATCAAAACAATTACGATGAAAATATTTATAGAAAAGACATAGTGAAGCCACATTTACAGTGGAAGGAAAGTGGCTGAATCCGGGATTCCAGATCAGGACCTATATCATCACAGATTCTTCAAACCGAATGTAACACAAAGTGGTATTTAAAGTGAAGTACCACGTATACAAGAGCAAGGGAGAAACATTGCCCCAGTACTCGCGGAACTTCCCCCTTTTTATTTTAGTTATTTTCATTGCCTGGAGTAATACCCCCTCACCCCATCGGGAGGTGAGTTGCATCAATAACTGTAAAACCTATTAGAATTACTGAATAGAGTTAGAACAATTACGATGTAAGTATTTATAGAAAAGGCATAAGGAAGCTACATTACCGCAGTGAAAATGAATGAAGCCGATATGACAGGTCATGACCAATATCATTGCAGATTTTTTGTTGTTTTTTTTGTTAAGAATCTCTAAATATATAATGAGAGTACAGGACCATATGCGGCGTCAATATTCAACACATGTGAGAATGTAATACTTATAAATATGTAAGATAGATTCAGGCGTGAAAAATGTTTCAGCTCGATATTTAGAAACTTAGTAAACACTTTTTAAGCAACAATGTGCCTTTACTAGTTCGGCCACGGAGACCAGTCTGATGGGGCAAGTATGGAATTATCTATTTGATGAAAGAATGTTTCGCTTTGGAATTTGTACTAATCAGTATGTGCGAGCTTAGATGACAGAGTTCAGGTAGCAAAGAAGAAAGATAAAACAATTACGATCAAAATGTTTATAGAAAAGACACAGTGAAGCTACGTTTACAGCGGATGGAAAGTGACATGCCGACATGCCAGGTCAGAACCGATATCATCACAGATTCTTCAAACCGAATGTTACAGAAAAATCCCACGTATACAAGAGCAAGGGAGAAACATTGCTCCAATACTCACGGCACTTCCCCTTTTGATTTTAGCTATTTTCATTGGCTGGAGAGGACCCCCCACCCACGGGACTGAATTGCATTTTGCATAAATAATTGTAAAACCTGGTAGAATTACTGAATGGAATTAGAAGAATTACGATGTAAGTATTTATAAGAAAATCACAGGGAAGCAACATTACGGCATTGAAAATGAATGAAGCCGAGATGCCAGGTCATGACCAATAACATTGCAGATTCTTTTGGGCATTTTTTTTAATCAAGAATCTCTAAATATATAACGCGAGCACTGGACCATATGCGGCGGCAATATTCAACACATGGAAGAATGGTAGATTTATAAATATGTAAGATAGATTCAGGCGCGAAAAATTGTTCACCTCGATATTAAGAAACTTATTTATGCCACAATGTGCCTTTACCAGCTCGGCCACAGAGACCAGCCTTATGGGGCAAGTTTGGAATTATCTACTTGATAAAAGTACGTTTCACGTTGGAACTTTTACGAATCAATATCTGAGGTTTTGTTCTCAAAAGATAAACAACTGTAATTTTTTAATAATTTTTGGAAAATATTTTTTTTTAATTTTACTCTTATAAAGATATATAACAAGGTAAGTTTTTTTTTCTTTCGCTGTTAAACGTAATGGTAAATGATAACAACGATGACCCGTTTAGATGACAAACTGATAAATTAAAAGAACCCTTTTAGAAATTTCAGGATCTTTAGACAACGAAACGTCACTTTGAGAGACAAAGAGTGATCAGTGTTACTTTTTTTCACATTGTTACTTTTTTCACAGTGTTACTTTTTTACAGCATTTCTTTTTTAATAGCGTTGCTTATTTCAGTGTTACTTTTATCACAGTGTTACTTTTATCACAGTGTTACTTTTTTACAGCATTACTTTTTTTTAATAGTGTTGCTTTATTCAGAGTTACTTTTTTCACAGTGTTACTTTTTTCACAGTGTTAGTTTTTCACAGTGTTACTTTTTTCACTGCTTTACTTTTTAATAGCGTTGCTTTTTTCAGTGTTACTTTTTTCACAGCGTTACGTTTTTAATAGTGTTGGTTTTTTCAGTGTTACTTTTTTCCCAGTGTTACTTTTTTCACTCTTTTACATTTAAAAAAAGAAAAAAAGAATTTTCTTTTAGGCAATTCTTTTGGAGAAATGTGGAGGTATTTCGACGCCATTATATCCGTTAAAACACAGTATTCTAAATCTTTTCATACTTTTTACCTGTACACGTGAGTGCGTGTCTCACATAAATGTTAATTTGAATTCGACTGCTTCAAACGTTTTAATCAATATTTCAGAATCACTTCCGTAATGATTATTATTATTATTATTTGCATTTGATATTTGTCCACCCCCTCTAACTCCTCATATTTCATATGGTTATTTCCCCCCGACAGGTCTCATGTGGCTACTTCTTGTTTCTGCCTCTTGCATCACGTCAATGTCTCGACGTTTTGTCTCATAACCCATGTTGTAACAAATATGTTTTTCATATTTATGTATCACAAAGCAAATGTTTCTTCTTCTAATATATGCCCCGTGGGGTAACATTTATTTCAAAATTTATATCTAATGTATCATGTGGTAATATTTCCACGTTTCAGTTTCTTGTATCATGTGGTAGCTTATTAACTTTTCTGTTGTCTGCATCATGGATAAACTTCACATTTCTGTCCCTTGTATAACGTATTAAATTTTCTATTGTTTGTATCATGAAGTAATAGCTTCATGTGGTGTCATGTGGTAAAAATTTCCATGCATCCGTTTCTTGTATCATATAATAACTTCACGTTTCTGCCTCTTTTATCAGGTAGTAACTTCACATTTTTGTGTCTTGTAAGTTTCACGTTTCTGTTTCTGGTAACTTCACTTCTTTTTTTTTCACTTTTTTCTGGTATCATGTGGTAACATTTACAAGTTTTGCTTCTTGTATCATGTGGTAGAATCTTCAAGTAACTGTTTCTTGCATCATATGGTACCTTCACCTTTCCGTCTCTTGCATCATATGGTACCTTCACCTTTCCGTCTCTTGCATCATATGGTACCTTCACCTTTCCGTCTCTTGCATCATATGGTACCTTCACCTTTCCGTCTCTTGCATCATATGGTACCTTCACCTTTCCGTCTCTTGCATCATATGGTACCTTCACCTTTCCGTCTCTTGCATCATATGGTACCTTCACCTTTCCGTCTCTTGCATCATATGGTACCTTCAGCTTTCCGTCTCTTGCATCATATGGTACCTTCACCTTTCCGTCTCTTGCATCATATGGTACCTTCACCTTTCCGTCTCTTGCATCATATGGTACCTTCACCTTTCCGTCTCTTGCATCATATGGTACCTTCACGTTATTGTCTCTTGTATCATATAATAATATCTTCACGTTTCTGTTTCTTGTATCATGTGGTAACTTCACAATTATATCTCTTGGATCATGTAGTAAATTCTTAGCCTACCCCCCCTCTCTCTCTCTCTCGTATCACGCGGCAACTTCACGGTTGTCTCTTGTATCACGAGGTAACAGCTTCACCTTTTGTCATTTGTATCATATAGTAACAATTTCACCTTTCTGTTTCTTGTATCATGTATATTTTCACATCATTTATATACATGATATAACATGATATAACATGATATAACAGACAGATATGATTCTGTTGCTTATGACATGTGGTAATTTCGGATTTTTCTCTTTATTGCTTCATACAGTAAATTCAAGTATAGATCGAGTATATATAGGAATGAATCCGACAAATTATAGGATAAAGAACAAGTCGGAAACATATCTCAATCTAACAGGAGAAATAAACCCATTGGGATCACCTGCATTAATGTAGAAAGTTCTAGAAAAGTGTCCGTTCAGGACATTTTCATTTCGCGATTCGATAACAAAGACTGGGTCAGTTCAAAAATTTATCCACAAATGACTTTTATGAATGAATAATTTTTTTTCTTGTATTATACAAACTGTGGTGGCAGTGCCACTGTTAAAACCTAGTTTTGTTTAAGTGGTATATGACAGTCGTCCTGTTGACAAGATTAGAAGAGGATAGTTGTCAGAAAATACTGGTTCTGATTAGTTAAAGTTTGAGACCAGCATTCAACAATTTTTAGATAATCCACAAATGAATAGATAATGACAAATGAATAAAAAATAGGAATCCGACAAAATGATAAGATAAAGAACAAGTCGGAAACAGATCTCAATCTAACATGTTTCGCTTTATTAAAGCTTCGTCAGAGATCAAGATAGAAATGATAAAAAAAATCAAGTATCTGTGTCTTGTATCAGGTGGTAAATACACGTTTTTGTTTCATGCTTCACGTAATAATTTGTTTTTTGTTTTTTTCGCATTTGTGCCTCATGTAATAAATTCTTTTTCACGTTCATGAAATAGGTTTTTATTCCGTATTTTTAAAACTGCTACTATGGACGATTAACGAAAACTGAAATCAAACGCTCTCCCTATTTTACGGCAACCAATCATCTTTAATTTTAAAATAATCGATGGAATCGATTCATTTCGAGAGAAATAAAGGCGCTTTAATTTTGTTTAAAACCGAAACGATTTTGATAAAACTAATAAGTAACAGCCATTTATATTGTTGTTTTATATGTTCTTACTTATATTTAATAAATTTAATAAAGTTTATTACAAAAGTACATTGAATGATTTCCAGGTTATTTTTTGGTTATTTTGTTATTTTTTTTTTTAATCATTTCATCCCAAGCTTGGCAATAAAGCCACTAACACGCAATGGGTTAGTTTTGTGACGTACGGTGGTTGTTAATGATTTCGTATAACCCAAGACTTCGATGTTAAATAAAACAGTATTTAATTACAACCGGAAATAAATACTTAACAAGAACAAGAAGAAAATTCAACCAAAGAAAATTAACTATTTCAATGACTACCTTGTTGGTAGAGCGGTAAATCTTAAATCCAATCCCAAATCATCGATGCTCAATAATTCACACTAATTCAACTGGATAGTTCCACTCAATAGTCACTCAAATATCACCGCAGTCAGTAGCCTGACACCGTTATTTATACACCTGGCAGAAAACATAAATTTATAAGTTCAGTGTAAATACCTCGGTGTCGGTATTTATTCATTTTCTTCCTATATGACAGTGTGTGTGAAAAATATACGAAAAAGAAAGACATTACTAAGGCGTGAGAAAAGCAAATGAACAGAAACTAAGGGGACAGTAGATAACGATTGATATTACGTTTAAATTTCTGAAGGTCAAAGTTGACTGGGAAGCAAGAAGACGGAAGAGAGTTTCACAAACAGAAAGTGCGTGAGAAGAAACTGTTAGCATAGAACTTACGGTTACATCTAGCCATTTCAAGAGTAAAATGATGAGACATTGCCAGTAATCTATTACTGCGCTTAAATTTTTAAAATTATAGTGAATTTTTATTTCACTCCATGCAAGGCAATAAAGCTACAAAGACGCAAGTGGTTACCGAGTGTTAGAAAATATGAAAAAAAAAAAACGCTTTTAAAAAGAGAGGACAAAAAAGACCAGGATTTTAAGAAGACAGACGATGACAATTGACATTGCATTTAAATTTTTAAAGTTTAATGTTGACTAGAAAACAAAATGTAAGGACAGATTTCCACTAGCAAGAGGTGCGAGAGAAGAAACTCTAAACATAGAACTTACGGTTAGATCTAGTTATTATAAATTTAAAAGAATGAGACTTTTCCGTCAGTTTAGGACTGCGTTAATTCATAAAGTCTAGGTGCCATAGGGTAATATTCGGCAGAACAATTATCATGAAAATTTATATAGAAAAGCAAAGGGAAGCTACATTATTGAAATAGTAAAGAGGCTGAGACAGGGATTCCCTGTCAGAACCAACGGCATTGCAGATTCTTCTTTGGATTTTATCAAAGATTTCTAAATATATAGCAGGAGCATCAAACCAGATTTGGCAGCCATATTCAAAACTTATAAATATATAGGATAGATTCGGGCGAGAAAATTTGTCTAGCACGAGACAGTGAACCAACTTTCTTAGCAGCAATTAATTCAATATAATCATTCCACTTCATGTTAGCAGAAAATGTTAGCCCAAGAAGGCTCTATAAGTTAATCTTCTGGAGGTTAGCATCAGCCATGCTTACGGAAGGCACAAAGGCGTTTCTCGGTGGTTGGTAGAGAACAATTTCTTTTGGGGGGGTACCATAATTAATAAGCCATTCCTTGCTCCAGTCAAAAGCGGATTGTAGGTTATTTATGAGATAAGCTGCCAATTTGACCTTACATCGAACTGATCAGACTTCCTATTATGAAAGGAGTAAATCGTTGTATCATCAGCATAGATATCGAGTTGAGAAGTGATGCCATCACGAAGGTAACTGATGAAAGTTAATGACAGCGTAGGTCTAAGGAGAAATAAACCCATTGAGATCACCTGCATTAATGTAGAAAGTTCTAGAAAAGTGGCCGTTCATTTCGCGATTCGATAACAAAGACTGGGTCAGTTCAAAAATTTATCCACAAATAACTTTTACAGATGAATAAAAAAATTTTTTTGCATTATACAAACTGTGGTGGCAGTGCCACTGTTAAAACCTAGTTTTGTTTAAGTGATATATGACAGTCGTCCTGTTGACAACATTAGAAGAGGATAGTTGTCAGAAAATACTGGTTCTGATTAGTTAAAGTTTGAGACCAGCATTCAACAACTTTTAGATAATCGAAGGCCACTGAAAACGTCCGTCAGTCACACAATTTACGTTTATAAAACACCTGGTCACGGCACCAAATGTAAATTTTCAGTGATCATTTGTTTTAATGGTAGCAAAAAAAAAAAAAAAAAGAATACAAGATTCTGATTTGAGATTAGGAACTCTTATTTTCTTTGAATGTCAACTGAAGAGAGGGAGCAGTATCGAACAAGGGTCAGCGTCTCCTTATTCTAACTCTTTTGTTTGTCAAATCAATCAACATCTTATAAGTTGTAGAGTTAGCGGTCATGCTTACGTGTAATTGACAAAATTCTCAACTAACAATAAGACGAGAACAAAGAAAAAAGAACAGGGCAAAATAATACGAAATAAACATCATATATATATATATATATATATATACTAAAGGTAATAAAATCCGTTGGTATATAATTCAAGTGGATCCTAGTAGTATAAAATGTTAAAACCGGTCCACAAAAAGAGCTCAATCTACTTATTATTACAGAACAGAAATTAATACACAATAAAGTCCAAAATCACCTCATATAGGGAATAAGCTTATTTCAACCAACGAGACAATAAAATTCGTCAGTCTTATTCAACCCAGGTATAGACTGAGTTCGTGTCGGAATTAAAAAAAAAAACGGTAAAATAAAAAAAAAATCGTCGTAAAGGTAATGCAGAATTTATCCATTTCAATGTTACAGTCAGACGAAAGTCACAGGACAGATGTCTGGGGAGGATGGAAGGTGTTAGTCTTAAAGGATAGAGGTTTTATAAAATTAAACCCGGATATTAAACTTATGTCAATAAATTAAGGTAATATGAAGAATGAAATGTTAAGCTTATGATATATATATATATATATATATGTATGTGTGTGTGTGTGTGTGTGTGTGTGTGTGTGTGTGTGTGTGTGTGTTTGATAACATATAGTTTGAAGGTATGCTAAATTTATAGGTAATTTATGGGATTCAAGTGGTCATAGCATTCTGACTTCAGGACAAGAAAGAATACAACAACGTGGGCATAAGACAGAGTATTTTATTGGCTGAGAAGAAATACTATCATGGATCTGTAGAATTTAGGGAGGGGAGGGATTTTTAGGAATCATTCCATAGATTGGAACCAAAACAAGGAAATACCAAGAAAAACCTGTTCACTTCCACGGAAACTAACAGGAACCAATATTGGTGGGCGTTTAAATATTTGGCCTTCGTTTCTTGACCGAAACAGAAAAGTTATTTTGGGACAAAGTAGTCACTTCTAATTGAGAAATACACGAAAGTGACCTCATCTTCGCTTCAAGGACATCCGCAAAAGAAACATGGACATCGAGAGGTGGGAAGACGTCACCAACGATCGCTCGTGTTGGAGACGCGATTTACGCCGAGGTATCAAACTAGATATCCTTCTAATTTTGAACCAAACGCTTGAGTTCACGGGGGTAAATTGTTAACAATACTTAAGGGGAGATAATGCTGTAGAATTTATATTCTGAGGAATTACATGGATTTTGTTACATAATTTGTTACGTTTAAATTGGGGGCTTTTCTTGATTTTTTTTTGTTTTATAAACAAAACAAAAAAAACAGTAATCTTCCAGCTTTGTTCGTAGATAGATATTGAATTTGCTTAAGATGATCACTTAGGCTGGATGTCAGAATTTCGATTCCGACCGAATGATAAAATCTGAAAGAAACTGCAGTAAAAACAGACTCGTTAAATAAACGGGAAACGAAAAACAAAGAAAAAACAGAAAAAAGAAACTTTATAATTACCGAAAAAAGTAAATCGCAAAAAAATAAGTGAAAAAAAAAACTGTTTGATCATAATTCCTCTTTTAA